TCCCAGCACTGACGACATCGCTGGCTTCATGCAGCACCCCGCAGCCACTCTTCCCAGTCCTCACCAGTTTGGATCTCAACTGTTATCTCAGACCTCTGAGAAGAAACGTGGGAGGTTTTGCACCCCAGGTTTAGTAAAGCAAGCCAGCTGCAAAGCACTGGTCATGATCCTGACTTGTTCCACAGGGATGCTACAAAGGGTAGGAAGTCAGTGTCTCTTCAGATGTTGTTGGCCTGCCCTGGCCAGTGTAACCAATGGTAAGGTCTCACTACAACCCCTGGGGAGAGGAAAGACAGTCCTCACCCCTGCATGAAAGCACAGTGAATACAAGCCTTCCCCACCCTGCTGCTCTGCAGGTATCTGGAACTATAGTCCCCAGCAGAAGTGACCCCTGGCTATGTTGGCTGGGGATGGTGGAAGAAGCAACCCCTCCAGAGGGCACCAGGTTGCAGAAGACTGTTTAATGCTAACCGGTGGCTTGGCAAAAGAAGGGAAAGCTTCCCACCTGCTCCTTGAAGCAGTGCCAAACAGCGACAGGCAGGCACACACAGGCCCAAGAAAACATGAGTGCTAGACAAGTCTTTCCCAACCTGGTGCTCTCCAAGCACTGTCAGATTGCAGCTCCCATCAGCCCCAGCCAACATGGCCACTGGTAAGGGCTTCTGGGAGTTATAGTCCAAATACCTGAAGATGAGAAGGCTGTGCTAAACTATGGATTATACATTATGTACATCAGGTCATTACATCTCAGTCTAACTGACCTTACAGAGTTGCTATGAAAATAAAGGGCTGGGTACAAATTTAAATTGCATTAACTGTTCTGGGTCTTCCTACCCTCTCCCTCCCATGGAAGAAAGTCTAGAAACCCTGCTGGATGAGGCATGGTGTACCGTGGGGGAAAGAGGATTCCGTCAAAGATGGGAGAAAGGTGAGCAGAACGCTTCCTCTCACAGAGGGCAAATTCTTAATAATACACAATTATTACTAATGCATGATAATTACTAATACACAAACATGTAAAATGTTACTTGATTTGGGGAGGAAGAGAAAGGTCAGGGCAGAACTGTAAAATGGCAAGAAGTGTAGCAAACAGACCTTTTAAAGTTCCATTTCTAGCACTCTCAAGCAAACCTCTGAAGCTGCAAATCATCCCAAATAAATCTGATCAACTATAAAGATGGGGAGGGGAAAGAAGTAAGGAGCACTTGCAGAGGACTTCAGTGCAAAGCAGTGACAAACTTCCAGCAAGAATTACCTATGTAATGATAAATATGTCTTACTGAAATCTTGGCACTACTTCATTTTTTTACATTTATAATAGCTTAGAATGTCTCCACACACAATATTATGCCACCTGATTCTCACTGGTATTCAGTCATGCTATGAAATTAATCTCTTGGCATCCTATGCATCAAAAAATATCACTTTTTCTGAGATTCATACCCAATCACTGCCTCCAAACACGGTGAGTTTCTTCTAAAACTAAAAGCCCCTGAAAGGTATTTTATAAAAATGCCCTAAGCAAGCAACACGACTAAAACAACAACGCAACAGTTGTAACAGTGACCAAGAGCGTTCTACTTGCAATTTTTAAAAGGCAGTAACTGTCTGGATGCTCCCCAGTTTCTTGCCCTGGGCACGATTTCTGTTAGGTTGGACTTTATAAGGAATCTTCTCTCCCTTCATTTCTATCCCTCCTCTTTCTTTATATAGCACCATAAACATGCATGGCTGCTTTGCAAAGCACAAAGAGGCAGACCCCTGCCCCAAGAAGCTTACAGTCCAGTGTTTGTGCAGGAAAGATAAGCAGAGGAAAGAAGCAGAAGACAGATGTGGGGGGGGGGAAGCACTTGCTTCTTCTATTCAACATACTCATACTCAGGCGCATTAGTATATCCCCATCAAAATCGCTTCCTCACCACGTCTCTGGCATAGACCGTCCTAACGAATCCCTCCAAGAGGGAACACAGCACAGAAGTCCCTCCCGATCTGGGGCCTGATCCACTTCTTCCCTGGGGATTCTTGGCCTTCTACCAGTCTGCGGAGATTTCCTTGCCCGAGCCTCAACACGGGACCGAATTTTGCTCGTCTCCTCTCCACTCACTCTGACCCCTTATCATTAGCAAAGGCCTTGAAGAAGAATTCGCCCAAGTGAGTTTTTTAGCTGTTGCATTTTGTTTGGTCTCCTGGCCTCCTCCACTCCGAAAACACTGAAAGTTTGAGCTGGGGGCGGGGAGGAAAGCGATCGGAAACAGGGAAGCCTCAAATGCTCCCCCCCACACCCCACACCCTCTTCTTCTTCATCATCATCGTCATCCTGCGGGGTCCCTCCATCCTGCCACCCCAGACGGACCCAAGAACACCCGCCTCCCAGGCGCGCGCCGCGAAGAGCAGACAATGGGAGGGGGCGCCCCGTCCTGGACAGCCCCCCCTCGGGCAGCAGGGGCTGCGCAGGGGCGCCCGCGGTCCCGCGCCCGCCCGCCCCCCTCCCCCCCGGCGCACCGGCCCGGCGCGGCGCGGCGCGGCGCGGCTTACCAGCTGCAGGCAACAGAATCCGACCAGCGTGCAGCGCACGTTGCACTTGCCCATGGCGGCCGGGCCGGCGGCAGCGCCGCGCTGGCCGCCCGTTGCCAGGGACAACCTCACTGGGGCGGCCGCCGCAGGCAGCCGCGGCGCTCGCCGGCCATCGCGCCGGGCGCCGAGCCGCGAGGGGCGCCCCGCGCCTTTGTC